ATGCGGGGCTCGATCCTGGGACTCTGGGATCATGACCTGAGCCAAAGGCAGATGCTTAACCAACTGAGCCACCCAGGCGCCCCCCTCCTAGAAAATTCTTATTCCATGCTGTTGATTTAAGGAAGCCCATGTAGTTTCCATTAACATTCCCTTAGAAACACTGAAACCAGTATTGATGCCGGGACCACTATACCTTTCTTGTCCTGAAAGAGTGTTTGAACCATAACCAGAGTTTTTATTGGGAAGCAGCTTAGGATCATCAGCCTTAGCCAAGCTCGTCGTGGCTGTTGGAGAATATAGGAAGTCAGATGAGGGAGGGAGTAAACTTTTTTCAAAGCCATAGGTTATGTGTGTGAGGGTGCATCAAGATCACTCTTGGAGCTTAGAATTTTTTCTGGCCCTGTATGGGCTGTTGTCTTGGGAGAATGCCAGCTATCTCACTAGTGAGACAAGGAGATGTTTATGCATTCTCTGGTTCTTTTTTGAAGTTAAAAACACCCATCATTGTTAGATTTAATATCCAAACTCTCTGACCCTTTGCAAAGTTGGTAAGTTAGACAGTGGGTTTGTTTAATAAGATTATTTTATTTTTGAAGAACTGAAGAAAAAGAACTGAATATATCCCAAGGGGCTGAAACATCAGAGAATCATTGTTTTATGTAATCTGGATTTTATCACACTCCAAATTATGCGTCTTTGAATACACATTATGTGGGATAATAGTAATGTGTCAGTGAAAGGGAGAGAATATGAATGAGAATTGAACTGAATCATAGTGAAAGCATATAGTAGGAACCATATGGTAATAGTAGTCTGGTTAAGAGCCACTTCTTGGTTTCTATGGCCTTGGGCTCTTCTCCTCAGTTTGCTCACCTGAAAAATTATAATACCTGGATTATTTGTGCAACTCTTAGGACTGTTTTAATGATTAAATGAGATTGTTCATAAAGCGCTTAGAACAGCACATAACCAGTCCTATTTAGGTGCTGCTTAGAGCATAGTATCAACTTGTCCCACTAAGAACATTCTAGAACTGCATGATCCAGATGATGCTTTCATCTGTAAAGTCCATTAGTGAAGGTGCTTCCATATCCCTAAACTTACCTTTCCTTTTGCTTCTAACCTAAATTCTTCACAGTGTGCTGCTGAGTCTCACCTGGGATTGCTTGCATCTTGAGCACCAGCTGGGTTCCATCCTCACATAATTAAAACACAGTGATTCCCTCTCTGGGCTTGATTCTTATATTCTAACTGTCCAGGTGACTCCTTGGCTCCACGAATCTGAACCCACCCCAGTTTTTCCATTCTGTTCAGCAGAGATCTGCTTGGGGCTATCTCAGATGGAGGGTGACCTCATGGTTTTTGATGCTATCTTTCAATTTATATAACTCAGCCGTGAGCATGCTTTTTAAAAATAATGGCCCTGAATTGCTGACATCTTGTCATCTGCTCAGACTCCTAAATCTTTCTGTGCTCACTAGACTGAATGGGATCAGCTGGAGCAAGATGCCTTTGTGCAGTCCTGCACTTACTGTGCTTGGCGAGTGACCTCCAATAGAGCTGTGTGTTCCCTCCGAGTAACATGGGTAATGATTACAGCGACAATGTTGCTATTGTGTCCAGAGGTTTGGGGCTGTAATTTCGTAATGAAATTGAAAAACATGAGATTAAAAACCTGAATATAGCACAGTAATTATATTTAAGTATCACAAATCATCTCCCTGTATTTAGTTAGGTGTTGGAGATTTGGCCTCTCTTTGTGGAGTGTGGTCACGTCGTTTCATACATCTGCAAAATGGAAAGCTTCTAATTTATGGCTAAAATGTGGGAATTGCTTTCTCTTAATGGGAAGGTGACGAGAATGGTATTGAATTTGAAGGAGCTGGTTTGCTTCATTGACTAGAGTCAAGAAGGGAGGTTGTAGAAGAGCTGCCAAGGTAAAGAAATGTTTGGGTCTTTTCATGGTTTAATTCCCAGATACTTAGATGTGACTACGGGTTCTCTCTCTAGAAATTAACTGACATAGGCAGGGAAATTCTCTAGGCCTTCAACAAGCAGTGTAGTCTCAGAGGTATGACTCTTGACCTTACCTAAGGCAGATTTTCTGGAAGATGTAGCTTCCAGAGTTTCTGGAAGATGTGGGTTTCCCACAGGCGCCTGGTCCATTCATTGCCTGAGAACTGGTATGTACCTGCTGTTTCTTTATTTTGGCTGAGCCCTTTTTGGGGTGGGAGGTTGGGGAATGTGTAGGTGGTAGCAGTTGGCAGGCATTCCTGGGGCATGAAGAGTAGGGAGTAGACTCAGGGCTCTTCTTTAATATGAAGTTAGAGGGGAACATGGTTTAAGAGTAATGATCTCTCCCTCTACTTGATTTCTAGGAAACATTGGGTATAAAATGATCAGAGAAGGAAGTTGTGAAGGGGATAATTATTGTTGTCAGTTATTTACTGATTATCTACCATGAGCCGTGCACTTTTTTTACCATTTTTAAACATCACAGTAGACACTGCTTTAGAGAGATCCTGTCCCTATACTGTCTCCTACCCCCCAAATAATTTCTACTGATGCAAACAGTACAGATTATCCCTTCTTCCCCAAAGCTTTCCTCCAAGATACACTGTGAATCTATTAGGCCAAGTAACTGGATTACTCGAACTGCTTTGGGCCACCGTTTGTTGGTAAAAGCCTGGCCTGTCAGTTACCAGCATTCAAATCACCTGGGGAGCTTGCTGAAACTCTATATTCCCAGGCTTCCTTAACTCTCCCTATCTGGAGGTACTCCGGGTGAGTAGGTGGGGTGGGTGGATTTGTGGTCTAGGAATCTATATTTAATCTATATTTTGTAACAACCACCTCCCCCCCCCCTCCCCCCGCCCCGGATTCTTACAGATTCTGAGAATCACCACCTTAGGGCTCTGAGTTTCAGAAGCAGGGCTGTTCCACTGGATGGATTATGTTGAAATTTACTCTGTTGAAACATGGACCTGCTGTTCAGTCCCCTAGTTATGCCCGTCATCATCAGTATCTTGGGTAAAAATACCTGCTTTGATTGATTCCATTTCCTCTGGATGTAAGGAAGACTGGGCTTCTTTGCAGCTTTACCCACCCTTATGGATAGCAGAGAGGAGAAAGGTCCAAACCTGGTGGTTTCACTTCAGACCTGCTAGGGAAAAGGTGGCCTACCTCCAGCAGTAAACTTGGGCTTCTCCAGGACCTTCAGTAGTTTCTATTTCCACTGGAAACTCATTGAAAATTCTAGCACTATTCGTGTTTTTGGCAAAGCAGATAAAAACAGCAATTCAATTAAATTCATCAAACATTTATTGAGTAGCTGCTGAGGCTAAAGTGTTGTGGCAAGGGGAATGACATAGATAAGTAAAAACACAGTTTCCAGCCTCCATCCAAGAGGCTGTTGTTCTGATGGTGTAGTCAGGCCTGTTGTAGTCAGGCACATTCAGCTATAAACTGGCACATACAATAGGGTCTTCCAAAAAGTGAAGTCAAAGCAAAGAGCGTTCACAGGAATGTCAGGGTAGAAATAGTTACATTCTAGTTAGGCAGATGTCGTCTTTGGGGAGATGGTCCAGGGCGGTGGCTCTCTTCCTTGCCTGTGCTTTAGAATTGCATAGGGGGAATTTTTTTTTTTTTTTCAGATTTTATTTATTTGAGAGCGCAGTGAGAGAGAGTGGGGGGAGGGGCGGAGAGAGAGAATCTCAAGCCGACTCCCTGTTGAGTGCAGAGCCTGATATAGGGCTTCATCTCAGGACCTCAAAATCACTACCTGAGCTGAAGTCAGGAGTCAGACATTTAACTGACTGAGCCACCCAGGCGCCCCACATAGGGGGAGTTTTTTAAAAACCCTAATATCCAGGCCATACCGCTTAGCAATCAGATCAGAATTTCTGGAGTTTGGATATAGGCACGCGCACTTTTTAAAGCTCCCTACAGGCATTTCCTGTGCGGCCAAGACTGAGTGAGAGCCACTGATACAGAAGGACAAATAGGCTGTCATTGCGAAGGGGGTTAGGCAGAGAAGGACAGGCATTGGGGGCATCAACGGAGGCCTAGAGGCAGTAAAGTGAATGCTTTGGTTGGAGAATGCTACTCAGTGGGGTATAGGACT